CAGGGTTTGAGCAGAGCAGGGACACGGTATGACTTAGAACCAGGTTCCTCTGGCTACTGGTCAAGACCAGGCTGTGGGGGAACAAGGGCGGAAGCCCATTTGGAGGCTGCTGCAGTCACGCAGGTGAGAGGCAGTGGTGGAGAGCAGTGGTCAGATTCCGGAGGAATTTTGCAGGCAGAGCTACCCAGGTTAGCTGTTGGATTGGCTGCCAGGTTGAGTGAGAAAGAAAGGAGTCAAGGGCGATGAGGCCCCGGAGGGTTTAGGGTGGGCTGCTTCGAGTGTACTGTGAGCCTGTGCCTTTCTCTGTACAGAACATATCCAGACTGTTGTTTCCAATGGCCTGCACCCTCCAGTTCCCTTCTCTCCTGCTCTACAGAGCTCTGTGGCAGCCATTTCTACTATAGTGTGGGCCTTGCATGGGAGCTGTTAGGGCGGCATGTGCACACACATGCGCACACACATGTGCGTGTGTGCATGGGCTGCCTCCAAGAGCTTCGACCCTGTTTTATGTGATTGCATACAGGCCTCCCTCCTCTGATGAAGAATTGTTGAGGAGGCCAGGTGTGGTGGCTCATGCCTGTAATCTCAGCACTTTGGAGGCCGAGGTGGTGGATCACTTGAGGTTAGGAGTTTGAGACCAGCCTGACAAACACGGTGAAACCCTCATCTCTACTAAAAATACAAAAATTAGCCGGGCATGGTTTTGTGCACCTGTAATCCCAGCTACTCAGGAGGCTGAGGCAGGAGAATCACTTGAATCTGGGAGGTGGATGTTGCAGTGAGCTGAGATCACACCACTGCATTCCAGCCTGGATAACAGAGCAAAACTCCATCTCAGAGGAGAGGAGAGGGAGGGGAGGGGAGGGGAGGGCAGGGGAAGGGGGGGAGGACAGGGGAAAGGGAGGGGAGGGGAGGGGAGGGGAGGGGGGAGTGGAAGCATTAAGAAGCTGAAGCCCTTCCATATGTCTGAGACTTGGTGTATTCAGCTGAGAAATGGGAGTGAGGACTGTGGAACTACCCTGGGCTGGGGCTGAGGGCTGGGCAGGTAGGAGCTAGAAGGCCTGGATGTTGTTGCCATGAAGCTAGGAGAGGGCTGGAGGTTCAAGAAGGCTTCTAGATACCTGGGTTGGGGGAGGGAGGTGCAGAGGGAGCAGGATCAAGGTATGGGGCGTGTGTCAAGGGTGTGGGGTTGGAGGGTGGGGTGTGAGAGGTGGGCCCTGGGAATAGCTGAGGACGGGTCTGGGAAGGGTGAGGTGCTTGGTAGGATACTTGGTAGAGGGTGCAGCAGGTATCCGGCGAGGCGCTGGTTACTGCAGCATATATGCTGGATGTATGATGAGCCCTCTAGGTGTTCAGGGCCCTCTGGTGAATGCGCATCAACTTGTTACCTCCTCTCCTATTCCTATCCCCTTTGCCAGCTCCACAGTGCCCCCTGGCAGTGCCTCACGTGCACCAGAAGTGCGTCCTCCCCCGGGGCCTTGGCATTCTAGCCTGCGCAACACTCTAGGACTGCGCAATCCAGGATTGCTTATCCTGGATGTCCACATGCTCTCTTATCCACGGCTCTGCTCCACGGGTCCTCCCCAGCCAGGCCTTCCCTGACCGTAGCCAATCTGCAGCCCCACGCAGCACTCCCTCTTCCCTTCTCTGACTTCATTTCTTTCCATAGCGTGTGTCACCATCTTTCTTCTATTTCACTGATTTTGCTTATTGTCTGCTTCCTCTAGAAGCTAAGCTCCATGTGGGTAGGGACTTCTGGTTTTTTTGTTTGTTTGTTTTTGAGACACAGTGATGCTCTGTCGCTAGGCTGGAGTGCAGTGGCACGATCTCAGCTCACTGCCACCTCCGCCTCCCGGGTTCAAGTGATTCTCGTGCCTCAGCCTCCTGAGTAGCTGGGGTTACCGGTGTACAACACCATGCCCAGCTAGTTTTTTTGTATTTTTAGTAGAGATGGGGTTTCACCATGGTGGCCAGGTTGGTCCTCTAACTCCTGACCTCAAGTGATCTGCCCTCCTTGGCCTCCCAAAGTGCTTGGATTACAGGTGTGAGCCACTGCACCTGGCCTGTGTTGGTTTTTAACGGTGGTAAAATATACATACAGTACTTATTATTTCAATCATTTGTAAGTGTACAATTCAGTGGCATTAAATGCATTCTCACTGTTGTGTAAGCATCCCAGTCTATACCCTATACTTTTTCATCATTTCCAAAATAAACTTCGAGCCCATTAAACAATAACTTCCCCATCCCACCTCCCCCCAGCTCCTAAACCTCTATTCTATTTTCTGTCTCTAAATTTGCCTATATAGATGGAATCCTACAATATTTGTCCTTCCATGTTTGGCTAACTGTACTTAGCATAGTATTTTCAAGTTTGATCTATGTTGTACTATATATCAAAATTCCATTTCTTTTTATGACCGAATAATATTCCATCACCTGTAGACACAATATTTTGGTTACAACTGCATGCTCTGTGCCTGGCATAGTGCCTGACTCATGGTCAGTGCTCAATAAATATTGTTGAATGACTGAGTGAATGAATGAATGAGTGAATGAATGAATGAGTGGAAGGGGTGATGAGTCTTTATGGTTTTGCTTTGTTTTAGAACATCGGGTTTGAGATCTTAGAGAAGTGTTTGCATAGAGATGACAATGAGTGCCCCTGGGTGTTGAGGAGGAAGAGGGCTGAGGGGTAAATGGTGTGTGAGCAAGGGGTATGAAAGAGGCCGGTGCAGCTGGTCTCCGCCAAAGGGGTTCCTTCCTGCCCTGGGCAGAGCACCTCCACCCTCCCTTCCTCACTCCAGAGGAGGCGGGGGTGGGAAGTCTTTTGCAGGAATCCAGTCTCAGGCTCCCTGCCCCTGGCCTGCTTTGGCTTCTCCTCTCCCTTTGGGGTGCCTGGAGTGTATGTGGGGTGCTCAGAGTATATGTGGGGTGCTCTGTGCCTCGGGAGGGGGCCCCAGGTCTGGCAGGCTGGAGACGATGTCCCTGCCGGGCAGCTGTCCTCAACCTGAGATTGCCGAGGGTCTGAACTCACCCATGAGAGGGTCCAGATGTCCAGCCTCATCCCTGCTAATTAGTGCAATTAATTAGCAAGTGGCTTCATGGCTCTGGGAGTCCTGAGCTCCTTTGGCCACTCTGGAACAGTACTGCAAACAGGTGTCGGGGGAGGTATGGGGGTCAGTGAAGGAGACAGACTGTAGCCTGACCCTTCCCTGGACAGAGGGCCCCCTGCCCAAGAGTGATTGCAGTGGCTTTTCTCTCTTCTGTCTTGCTGGGCCCAGGAAAGCCATGCCCGGGAAATGGTGGGATGAAGGGAGAAGGCCCAAGTCCCACGGCCAGAGCTGAGGATGGAATAGGAAACGTGGTGTCACCTATTCCAGGTTGTTGCAGAAAACCTGGGCTCTGCCGGAAGAACCCCTGGGCCCTGGAGGAGATACAGCCCCTGTCCTGGGAGATGTCCCCAGTCTGATTTTGCAGACACAATCACTGCCCTGGGGGAGCTCCTGGTCACATGGGGAAATTAAGTAGAAGACACAAATTTGAGGCTGAGTGCAGCGGCTCACACCTGTAATCCCAGCACTTTGGGAGGCCAAGGTGGGAGGATCACTTGAGTTCAGGAGTTTGAGACCAGCCTGGCCAACATGGTGAAACCTGTCTCTGCTAAAAATACAAAACAATTAGTTGGGTGTAGTGGCGCACGCCTGTAATCCCAGCTACTCAGAGGCTGAGGCAGGAGAATCGCTTGAACCCGGGAGGTGGAGGTTGCAGTGAGCCAAGGTCGTGCCACTGCACTCCAGCCTGGGTGACAGACTGACTCTGTCTCATGAGAAAACAAAAAAAAAAGGGACACAAATTTGAGAAAACAGTAACACAGAGATAAGTGCCAAAGGAGAAGGTCCAGAGAAGGGAGGGCGGAGCCTAGCGGGAGGAGCTGTCCTGCTGACCTTGAAGGAGTAGAGGACAGATCTTAGCCGGATACACTTGAACTTCCTGGAAACAGTGAGCTGCAGCACTGAGCTGGGACTCATTTGAGGGAGAGGTTGGCCAAGACACAGTACAGACCAGGCAGGCAAGAGCCTTCGGACTTCAAGCTAGAGATGAGGGGCACCCACTCAAGGTTGGGGAGGAAAACTGCCATTGACCTCCATGAATAGGGGCTGGAGGGGTACGGGCCCAGCTTGGGGGATAGAATTAGAGAAGCAGCAAGCTCCCACCACCTAGGGAAGATGTTCCTGGTGAACGTCATTGCTACCAACTGGGCATGGGCAAGAGAAAGAGGATGGCTGGGGAGAATCACAGTCTGGAGGAAGGTGTTTGGGATGAAGGGATGAGTATTTTCCATTTTGCCTTAGCTTTTTGAAAAGTCCCAGAGGGGCATTCACATAGAGATGACAAGCTATCAGGAGGGGGTCTGGGGCTGAGGAAGGCGGTCAGGCCAGAGGTGAAAGACTCAAGGCAGCCTCAACACCTTTACCTGGCACTCGTGAGATGTTAATAAAGATGTCCCTGTTCTTCTATGTGTGGTCTATGGAGCAGCAGCATCAACGCCACCTGGGAGTTTGTCAGAAATGTAAAATCTTGGGTCCCATCCTGAACTGGCCGCTATGGTTTCGATGTCTGTGTCTCCTCAAAATTCATGTTGAAACTGAATCCCCAGTGCAACAGTATTAGGAGGTGGGGCCTGTAGGAGATGAATAAGTCACGAGGCCCCCACCCTCATGATTAGTACCCTTATAAAAGGGCTTGAAGGAACTAACCAGGCCCTTTTTGCCCCTCTGCTTTCTGCCATGTGTGGACACAGTAGCAATGTGCTGTGCTGGAAGCAGAGAGCAGCCCTCCCAGACACAGAATCTACCAGTGCCTTGATCTTGGACTTCCCAGCCTCTAGAACTGCAAAAAATAAATTTCTATTATTTATATATTACCCAGTCTGTGATATTTTCATTATAGCAGCAGAAGTGGACTAAGACGCGGACTAATCAGAATCTGCATCTTAGCAGGATCCTCCAGTGATTCGTGTGCACATTGAAGTTCAAGAGGCTCTGCTCCAGATGCTATCATCATTCTCCTAATTTTATGGTTGAGGAAGCTGAGGCTCCGATGGGGAAGAAGATGGAGAGGCATTGGCTGGAGGGGAGAGTTCAGGTACTTAAGGTAACCTGGGTTTTAAAGTTCAAGGGGCATACGTTTCCCAGTGGGGAGCAGGGAACATGTTGCGCAGTGCTGTGCTAGTAAATGTTTAACAATTGATTTGAGGAATGGAGGGAGTCCTAATTTGAAGTGTTTGCCAATTTCCGTGGTATAACTACTCCCACCACGATGAATTTCAAATTACTAACCTGATGTCACTGAACATGGCCTTCGAAAGAGACAACCATGATTGGTTCTAACACACCACTGATCTATAAGTGTACATGTATTTTCTTAGCTTAAGAGAAAAATCAGAAGAAACAGACCCAACCCCTCTCCGACCAGCTTTAACCTCTGTTCACTCCCTCCACACCCCTAAATGTGTACAGGCAGACAGAAAGACAGACAGATAGATGGTGCTGTGCTAGTACCTCTGCATATGGTTAGCCTACGGTGTTGCATGTGTCTGTCCCCTTTTTGGGGACAGGATCAGTGACATGTTGGCCTCTGCCCCCTATCCTAACTAAATGTCACCTTCAGCCAGACTGTTCCAGCAGATTCTCCTTAGAGAGCGAGCACTGAGAGCTTGGAGCCCAGGCCTGGGTAGATATCAGTGGTCAGACAGGCCTAGTTTACTCTTTTCACCTGGAAACTTGATTTCTCCTAAGCCTGAGACCACTGTGTGGGTGGGGCCTGAGTAAGCAGCCCCGCACCACGACCAGCCCCAGCTGTAGCCTGTTCTTCCCGTATTACCCAGAGCCTTCCGGGTCTGGGCTGCTGCCCCCATCTTTCTTTTGAAAAGTTGAGGACCATGGGACGCCTGGGCAGAGCCCAAAGCTCTAGGTTCTAGTCTTCCATTGCTGCTTATTTACAGGTGGTCCTGGGAACCCATTTACGACATTTACACATTTGTGTAGGGTGCTTTCACATTCATAAAACGCTTGGAGGCACATTGTCTCATTTCATCCTGGTAAGAATCTTGCAGGGCTGGTGCTATTATACTTTTTTTTTTCTTTTTAAATTCATTAGAATGTTGAACTTCTTTCGTTAGCAGAGGAAGCAGGGCCTTCGTGGCATTAAGAACATTGTGTGATGTCACCAGGCTGGGAAGGGCTGGGCTGCACTGCAGCTGAGGTTCAGTCTACCCACCGGTAAGTGAGACAGGCAGACTTGGTTCTCTTTAAAGTCTCTTCCAGCTCTGACATTCTGGACATTCGAAAGGTCAGGGGAAAAGATGCCAGGAGCGCTTTTATTTTTTTAAAACAAACAGGGACATTCTGCAGAGTGGACTGGGTGTCCACGAGTGCATGGATATGTGTGTGCATGTGTGTGGATGGGTAGACACAGTGTGAGAATGCGGCTGTATTGAGGGTACATGAATGTGGACGTGTGTGTAGGTGCCAAGGTGTGCCTCTGGGTGTTGGTATTGTGAGTGTGTACAGGTGTTGCATCTGTGTGTGCACAGTGTGTAGGTGCATAGATGCTGTGGGTGCAGGGTGCTGTATGACAGTAAGTGTGCCAGTGTGTGATGGAGTGTGAGTGTGGATGTGTGGATAGGTGTGTATAGTGAGTGTGCTGGTGTGTGATGGAGTGTGAGTGTGGATGTGTGAATAGGTGTGTATAGTGAGTGTGCTGGTATGTGACGGAGTGTGAGTGTGGATATGTGGATAGGTGTGTATATGTGAGTGTGCCAGTCTGTGACGGATGTGTGGTTGTGTGAATAGGTATGATAGTGAGTGTGCCAGTGTGTGATGGAGTGTGAATGTGCATGTGTGAATAGGTGTGTATAGTGACTGTGCTGGTGTGTGATGGAGTGTGAATGTGGATGTGTGAATAGGTGTATATGTGAGTGTAGATGTTTGAATAGGTGTGTATAGTGAGTGTACCAGTCTGTGACAGAGTGTGAGTGTGGATGTGTGAATAGGTGTGTATATGTGAGTGTGCATGTGTGAATAGGTGTGTATAGTGAGTGTGCCAGTGTGTGATGGAGTGTGTGTGCATGTGTGAATAGGTGTGTATAGTGAGTGTGTCAGTGTGTGATGGAGTGTGTGTGCATGTGTGAATAGGTGTGTATAGTGAGTGTGCCAGTGTGTGATGGAGTGTGAGTGTGCATGTGTGAATAGATATGTATAATGACTGTGCTGGTGTGTGATAGAGTGTGAACATGAATGTATGAATAGATGTGTATATGTGAGTGTGAATGTGTGAATAGGTGTAGTGTGCTGGTGTGTGACAGAGTGTGAGTGTGGATGTGTGAATAGGTGAGTATAGTGAGCAAGGTGTGTGACGGAGTGTGAGTGTGGATATGTGAATAAGTGTGTATAGTGAGTGTGGCAGTGTGTGATGGAGCACGAGCATGCATGTGTGAATAGGTGTGTATAGTTACTGTGCTGGTGTGTGATGGAGTGTGAACGTGGATGTATGAATAGGTGTGTATATGTGAGTGTGGATGTGTGAATAGGTGTATATAGTGTGCTGTGTGACAGAGTGTATAGTGGGTATGCCGGTGTGTGATGGGGTGTGAGTGTGCATGTGTGAATAGGTGTGTATAGTGAGTGTGCCAGTGTGTGATGGAGTGTGAGTGTGCATGTGTGAATAGGTGTGTATAGTGACTGTGTTGATGTGTGATGGAGAGTGAACATGGATGTATGAATAGGTGTGTATATGTGAGTGTGGATGTGTGAATAGGTGTGTATATGTGTATATGTGAGCGTGCTGGTGTGTGATGGAGTGTGTGGATGTGTGAGTAGGTGTGTATAGTGAGTGTGGCGATGTGTGATGGAGCACGCGCATGCATGTGTGAATAGGTGTGTATAGTGAGTGTGCTGGTGTGTGACGGAGTGTGAGTGTGGATGTGTGAATAGGTGTGTATAGTGAGTGTGCTGGTGTGTGACGGAGTGTGAGTGTGGGTGTGTGAATAGGTGTGTATAGTGAGTGTGCTGGTGTGTGACGGAGTGTGAGTGTGGGTGTGTGAATAGGTGTGATAGTGAGTGTGCTGGTGTGTGACGGAGTGTGAGTGTGGGTGTGTGAATAGGTGTGTATAGTGAGTGTGCTGGTGTGTGACGGAGTGTGAGTGTGGGTGTGTGAATAGGTGTGTATAGTGAGTGTGCTGGTGTGTGACGGAGTGTGAGTGTGGATGTGTGAGTAGGTGTGTATAGTGAGTGTGCTGGTGTGTGACGGAGTGTGAGTGTGGATGTGTGAGTAGGTGTGTATAGTGAGTGTGCTGGTGTGTGACGGAGTGTGAGTGTGGATGTGTGAGTAGGTGTGTCTAGTGAGTGTGCTGGTGTGTGACGGAGTGTGAGTGTGGATGTGTGAATAGGTGTGTATAGTGAGTGTATACTGTGAGAGAGAAAACGCACGCAGCACCGATTGACGTCTGTCTGTCCTTCCACCTCTCCCAAGACCCTTGCCCCCTCCTCCCCACTCTGTGGTCCCTTCGTCCTGATCCTCAAAGGCTCTGTGGGGGTTCTGGGGCTGAACGCCTGCCTGCCTCCTCCCGCTCCCTCACTGAGGGCCAGGACACACTCCCAGGCCAGAGCGGGTGGCCACAGCCCCTTTCCCCTGGGCCAGTGCCTGCGACGGGTGCTGGATTAGCCGAGGAGTGATACAATGGCACATATGGTCCTGAGTGCCGGGTGCGGCCCAGGGCCCCTTACTCAGTGCCATCGGGATTAGAGCTAATGAGTTGGAAGGAGTTAACAATGCTTCGGGCCAGCAGAGGCCCAGAGGCCTCTCAGGCTCCGCATCGCGGCCGCCTTTCACCACTGAGGTGTAATCCGCTTTGAAATCAAAGGTGGTACAAAGTATGAATTTAAATTTGACATTTACGGCTCCGGTGAGATGACGTATTCTGGAAAGGTCTCTTCTTCTTTAAGGGGGCTGGGGGTGGGGAGAAAGCAGGGGGAGGGAGTAGAGTGAAGCCATCTGCTCCGAGAGGAAGGCCCAGGCTTGTCCAGGCCTGGCCAACTTTCCCCCCATGGCTTAGGCTGGGGGAAAGGGGTGGGGTAGGAGTTTTGGGGGCAGACGGGCTGGCATCATTCTTCCAGCCTCGATTCAGAGGGTCCCCCTAGTATAGGGCTCCTTGATGCCTAGGAAGGAATCCCTAAGAAGACAAAGCAGAATTCTTGCCAAAAAGATCTTTAGCACCATTTTTTCCTGTTGGATTTTTAAAGTCTTTTTAAACGTTGTGGTAAAACATATATAACTTATACCATTTTAACCATTTTTAAGGATACAATTCAGTGGCATTAATTACATTTCACAGTGCTGTACAACCACGACCACTCTGTTTCTAAAACTTTTCACTTCCCCAAACAGAAACCCTGCACCCATTAAGCAGTAACTTCAATTCTCTTCTTCCCACAGCCCCTGGTAACATCTACTTTCTGTCTCTATGAATTTACCTTTTCTAGATATTTCCTATAAGTGGAATTATACAATATATGTCCTTTTGTGCCTGGCTTATTTCACTTAGCATTGTGTCCTCAAGGTTTATCCATGTTGTAGCATGTGTCATAACTTAATTCTTCTTAATGGTGCGCAGTATTCCATCCTATGTCTGTGTCACATTTTGTGTTTCCATTCGTTGATTGATGGACACTTCAGTTTGGCCGTCGTGAATAATGCTGCAATGAACATGGGTATATACAAGTATCTGTTTGAGTCGCTGTTTTCAGTTCCTTTGGCTCTATACCTAGGAACAGACTTGCTATCATATGGTAATTTTAGGTTTCACTTTCTAAGGAATCTCCAAATTGTTTTCCACAGTGGCTGCACCATGTTACAGTCCCACCAGCAATACACAAGGTTTCCAGTATTGCCACATCCTCTCCAATGCTTATTTTCTGTGTGTTTCTGTTTTAATTATAGCCATCCCAGTATGATGGAGTGATAGCTTCGTGTGGTTGGTTGGTTGGTTGGTTTTGAGACAGAGTCTCCCTCTATCGCCCAGGCTGGAGTGCAGTGGCATGATCCCGGCTCACGGCAACTTCTGCCTCCTGGGTTCGAGCGATTCTCCTGCCTCAGTCTTCCAAGTAGCTGGGATCACATGCCTGTTTGCTAATTTTTGTGTTTTTAGTAGAGATGGGATTTTGCCATGTTGGACAGGCTGGTCTCCAACTCCTAATCTCAAGTGATCTGCCTGCCTCAGCCTCCCAAAGTGCTGGGATTACAGGTGTGAACCACTGGGCCCGGCCCACCTTCCTGTGGCAAATGCAAATGGGAGGTGAAGTTTCGTTTCCTGTGCTTGTTTGCTGTGTGTGCCTCTTCTTTGGAACCTGGCCCCATTTGATACACCCAGAAGCTGCGGCTCTCACTCTCCAGCGTACTGTGGTATCCTGGGCCCTTCTCCATTTGGCCCCAGCCCCTCTAGGCTTTTATCCTGCCCGCCCCCACCCTCACACTCCCAGCACCTCTGGGACTCCCAATTTTCCCAGACATCTCCTGGACTCTGCTGACTCTGGACTGGGTGGAAGAAGGGGAGGCATCAGTCTTGGGGCACCAGGATTCCCTCAGCCTATCTTGCTGAGTCCCTTTCCTCACATCCCACCACGATGTCTCCTACTCACTCTTCCAAGCCAGACAGCGCCCGCTCTGGGCTCGCTGAGAACCCAGTCCGTGTCCCAGCATTGAACTCCTCATAGCGGATGGTAACTGTGAGCTCCATTTTCAGGGTCTTCTTCAAGAGCAGGAGCTGTGCTCCCCCCATCCCCAGGGGCCCTCAGCAAGGAGTCCTGGGTCAGGCGGGTGCTCCATGCATTTTATTTGATCCTCACTCTGACACATCTCTGTAACATTGATTTGGGAGAGGGAGAAGGGATGGGAGAACACTGACCCTTGCTGACATGTATTGGACACTTACTATGTCCCAGGCCGTGCTAAGTCCTTTGCTGGCATTGTCTGTCTCAACTTCACAGTAACTTCCACAAAGTAGGCACCTTTGTTATCTTCTTCTTTTTTTTGAGATGGAGTCTCGCTCTGTTGCCCAGGCTGGAGTGCAGTGGTGTGATCTCCGATCACTGCAACCGCCACCTGCCAGGTTCAAGCAGTTCTCCTGCCTCAATCTTCCAAGTAGCTCGAATTACAAACACCTGCCATCATGCCCGGCTAATTTTTGTATTTTTGTGGAGACGGGGTTTCACCATGTTGGCCAGGCTGATTTCAAACTCCTGACCTCAGGTGATCCACTCACCTCAGCCTCCCAAAGCGCTGGGATTACAGGTGTGAACCACCGTGCCAG